TGAAATAAGGGAGCTCTAACCAGGGTAAAGATGTAATATGGTGGGTTTTCATTTTAGGTAAATTAAACTAGATATAAGGTTGCGGCATGGATCTGGAACTACTTTTATTAAGAATGTTATTAGAAGATCTTGAGAATATTGTACACTATGAAAGTAATATGATAGTAGCCAATATTATATACTAAAAACGTACATGAATGGTTTGAATGTTTGAAAGATGTCTGGAATTTGGGGGTACAACTGGGAAGACACTGAGGTGTAAATATCAAATAATTGTAAGCAAATCATGTAACACGATGTTTGACAAGCACAAATCAATGTAGATAGAGTGAAAAACTAATAAAATGTTTATAAAAAAGGATGGAGGACTCTATCCCATCCTCGACCTCAGAAATCTCAATAAATTCATTCAATCTAGACACTTCAGAATGTTGACATTAGACACTATGATTCCTCTCCTTTCACAGGGAGACTGGTTTATCATCATTGATCTCCAAGACACATACTTTCATATCTCTGTTCACCTGAATCACCACAAATTCCTTTGAATGGGACAAGGACCTACTCTATCTTTTCCCTCCAATACCGTTCATACAAAGAACCATCATTTGACTTTGACAGTTCCAGTTGAATGCAATCCTTCTTGCCCCATGGTGGCCGAGACAACCATAGTTTACCCACGTGAGGCTGATGTCAACTGACTCATTCCGGCTTCCACTGATCCCCAACCTTCTTACTCAAGATGACGGGATGATTTACTATTCAGACATACCCTCTCTGAACCTTACAGCGTGGAGGATACTCCCGCCGTAAAGGATGTACTTGATCGAGCTCAAAAGCCCTTGACCCAGCTTCTATACCAAAACAAATGGAAAGCATTCCTTCACTGATTCTCATAACTTACCTGCAACACCAGTCTCTTTGAAGACTTTACTTACCATTGTCCTTCACCTCTTCAATTTTGGATTATCTTAGTCCACCTTGAAAGTTTATTTCTCTGCTGTTGTAGCTCATCAACCTCCTAATTCTAAATCAGCCAGACTTTTTCTCATCCAACTGTAAAAAAAATTCTTAAAGGACTCAACAATATTCGCCCTCCGTGCCAACATCCTATCCCTCAATGGTCTTTACAGCTTGTCCTCAATGCACTTACTCGACCACCCTTTGAACCGATGGCTACCTCTGATCTTAAAATACTTCCCTTGAAATCATATTTTCTTGTGGCAATAACATCTGCTAAGCGGGCTAGCAAACTTGCAGCCCTCCAATCCGATCCACCCTTCCTTCAATTCCAGATCCTCCAGCAAGTTGTTTGGACCCTGAGTAACACTAGAAGGAGTAACACTAGAACCATGTCTGAGTCCATTATACTTAGAAAATAGAGAGGCTACCTACCTGTAACTATAGTTTTTCTAGGGGTCCTCTGTAAATCCACACAATTGGGTTGTTCTGCACCTGCACTGAACCTCTCGGAAGTGTCTAGAGCTTAAAGACACATGATTAGTGGGGCGTTCCCCCTTGGAGCGCATGCTCCGCCCATCACTGATCCCCTTCCTGTAAAAGTCCAGGAGCTATTTTAAAGTGCAACATGACGGACAGAGGGGAGGATGAGTGGGATGTGTGGATTCACAGAGGACCACTAGAAGAACTATGGTTACAGGTAGGTAACCTCTCTTTCTGCTTCGTGGCCTCTGTGAATGCACACAATTGGGTGATTGGCGAGCTCACTTACTGGATGGTGGGACATCACAGTAGAAAAGATGCCAAAACTCTGCCAAAACCCAGAATCATTTCATGCTCTGACATCAAGACGGTAATGTCTGACAAAAGTAGATGGAGTAGACCATGTCGCTGGACGGCAGACGTGAGGGAGTTCAGTCCTATGCTGGAAGGCAATAGATGTGGACAGTGCTCTGGTAGAATGGGCTGTTAAATGTTCAGGAGGTGTTTTGCCAGTCAGTTCATACACCAATGAGATAGTTTGGACAATCCATCTAGAAATAGATTGCAGTGAAACTGGAGCCCCTTTATGAAGACCATGAAAACATAGAAAGAGTCTCTGTAATTTTCTGAATGATTTAGTCCTGTCAATGTAAAATGCGAGGGAACGCCTTGTGTCAAGTGTATGAAGCATGCGCTTGAGAGGTGTTGACGGAGATGAAAATAGGGTAGGTAGAATTTTCAGGTGATTGAGATGAAATTCAGATACAACTTTAGGTAAGAAGGACACATAAAAATACAGAGTGACCTTATGGAACAGAATCACATCCACAACCTCAGGCAGGAGTTTTCCACAATAGGTAATCATGAAGTGTACACTATGTATTAACTTTCTAATGGCTGAAATCCAGTAGTTGGTTATAACTGGAGTAGGCCCATTGAATCAATGGAACTTATGGAGGAGTTAATTCACTAAATCACCTCTGATTTATTCTGCCTCTTCTAGTTATGACTTACTAATGTTAAAGCAAAGCAGCAGCAAAAACGTGTTTATAAGGAATTAGGCAGCACATGGCACCTTTCATTAACATGCATTCATTATGGACCCTTTCATCGGCTAATTGGTTTAGGAGGATCCAGGGCAGATTTATTTAAGGCATTCTCCTCCCTCCCCTATCCGCCCATTGCATTGGATTTCCAATCATCCCTCAGAAATGTAACCATTGTGAGGGGAAGGGGTAGGCCTCCTCCCACCATATGTTGCCTCCACCCCACCCAGAAAACCCCACATTCCAGAAATGAATGAAACCCCAAGGGGAAAACTGGATCCTATATACTCTGTATATATGAACTCAAACTAATCTTCTGAGAAGCTGAATGAGTTAATATGTAGAGGCACAGATCATAGTGAAACAGGAGACAAATTGTTCACTAAGAATCATTTTAAAATCACACCTAATACTTGTTAAACAAATATTGTTTTCAAAGTCTTGAAATTTCACTTTCAGGATATAATAATATTTCAAGTTAGCTTTAAAGATCATGTTTATATTAGAGTTGGATTTTTTTTATGTTTTCATTTGATAACGTGGAAATTGAACGGCTTCCCTCAAGTGTAAACAGCAAATACACCCCATTATTCTTTTTGGTGTTCTACGAAGCTGAAGATTAAAATTACTGCAGATTATTTGAGCGGAATACAAGTGCTTTCAAAGTTGCTTGTTAAAGGAAAGCTGTTAAGCAGGCATTATTTGCAACTGAAAGTACTCTTGTCAGTCTGTGTTGGAAAGATATGTTCACCCATGTCTATCAAACACTTGTTTATAGCTAATTTATTTTACTTCAGCAGCAGCGTCACAGACATTTCTTGTAAATTGTATAGGACCATATATATCATTTTACTAATTAGTGTATTAATTTATATGTCACCTAATATATAATAATTCTAAACAGAAAGCAAAAAAAGTCTAAAATTAGAATTAAATTCCATATCCATACACATGTGCAGTTAAAATCTATATCCAAACCATTTTAAAAGCAGTAAATAGTAGTAAAATATAATTCCACTTCAGTTAGGCATCAGCAATCAGTCCTGGATTTAAAGATATTTTCACTGGTTATCAGAGGATAAACATAGATATTTTGGTAAGTTTCACGAAGAAAGTTTCAGGAAAAAAAATGCTAAAGATTTTATTGTGCTGGCACTGATATTTATTAATTAACGTGGATGTCTAAAAATGAACAGCATTAGAATATGCTGAATAACACACTGTCAGCAAACCTATGCAAACACTGTTGGTTCACTTAGTAGGTGTAAGGCAATTTGGCAAATCCCACCTCCTCACTGCATTTAATCTTCCTGTATTTTGGTTTACTTATACTGTACATGGCTCTGGGCAATTGGAAGTCAGCCATGCAGTACATAAAAATTAGACTTCAGCCATGCAATCCATTAAAACCATTTGCCTTGTGAACAGTTCATTTAATGTATGACTGGATGAATGTTTCTGTGCCTGTGATTTGCAGGATGTGTTTAGGTGGCATGGTCCTTGTCATCAAACCTTATAGTGTACAATGCAGGACTGTCATGAGGGGCCAGACCCTCCTTACGCCCATCTCTATATTCCTGGTAGGAGAGACTTCTATGCAGCTAGAACTCCTTGGAGCTATCCAAGTTCCTGTTTTCTTCTGCTTTGCCACTGCCATGCTTTGAGCTTGTCTGGTACAAACAGAGTATATGGATATATATGCTTAGCCTGCCTTTGTCTACTATTTTTGCTTTTGTTTCCAGGATGGAATGGTACTTGTTCTTGGCATCAGTTGCTACCAGAATTTTTTGCAAGCCCTAAGTAACTGCAGAATAGAATACTGAATCTGTAGAAAGACAGGGCTTTCCATAATGAACTCTCCCTCTGTCCAGGCACATGAACAGAAACAAAAGTATGTTTACACAGACCTCTAGGCAAATAATGAAAAACTGCATAGGACACAAATTACAGTTTCTGTTTAAGAGGCTAACCTCTCTCTCCTTCATTTCATTTCATTTCCATTTTTCCTAGCTCCTTCAACAGTTCAATTTTTAAATTTTTTTACCTGTGCTTCTGCAGCCTAAATTATTCTCAAGGAGTTATTTCTATAATTTTACCATATCTGATCAGGAAGACATCAAAATAATTAATCAATTATTAGTTTAAATTACACATATCAGTTGCTAAGAGGGTGAAAGGCTTGTTTACCTTTTCCAAATAAATATTTCTGATATCTGAGGAAACAAACTCAGACATTATCAGAAACCATTCAGTTCATTTCACAGTAGCTCTCAAGGTAGAGTTTTATCTACAAACCTAACAATACAGTATCAGTCTAGCGCAGCCTGCATGCCTTCCACAGGATCATTTAATAGAAAAATATTGTAACATAGTTCCACAAGACTATGCAGTTTCAACTAAATTTTCTGTAAGGATTTTTTAAATGAATTCCAGAGTAGTTCTAGTTCAGCAGATTGCAGAATCATCCCTGGATTATATAATCCAGTACAGATTTCAAAACAGCTGGGAGGTGCCTCTCTACAAGACCTAGTGTCACTGATTTTACTATTTTATTTATTTGGTTTGAAAGTTTCTATACTGTATTTCTTCTTTTAAATAATTAAATCCAGGATGACTTATTCACAGGGTTACAAGTGATTCAAACAATATAAAAAAATTAAAACCGGGTCTTCTCGGCGTCGGCTCCTCGCCTCTGGAACAATCTGCCTCTAGAGATTCGTGCGGCCCCTTTGCTGGGTATTTTTAAAAACCAATTAAAAACATGGATGTTCAGGCAGGCCTTCCCACCAGTTAATATTTGATTCTTTCCTCTTCTCTTTTCTTTTTTTGTTTGTTTTTTCTTCTTCTCCATCTTGAAGTACTGCTATTCGACATAATAATTTCTTTTTGTTATATTTCTAATTGTTGTTTGTAAGCTGCCTAGAGTGGTTGCAAGACCAAAATAAATAAATAAATAAAATAAAAACTGAGCAATGAAGTGGTGGTAAGAGACAAAAAAGGAGGATATATATCAGAAATAGATTAGAAAAATATAATCAAAGAAAATCCAGCCATACAGATGCTGAAATCAAAACACTTTTAGGCAGTGGCTGAAGGCTGTGTACAAATGAGTTGTACGAAACTGTTCTAAAAGCATCTCCATGGTACCCCACACTGTGCATACATTATTGACTCTGATGTGTCACTGGTTCAAATAACAACTCCAGGACGTGCTTCTTTCTGCACTGTTGAGAAAACCATCAGTATGTCTAGGAGTGAAGATCATATAAACATATCAGAGAGTGTCCAAATATGTATAAGGTCTTAGCATAGTCTGTGGGTCAGTGGTGTCATATATAATGGAGCTTCATAATAAATGTGATCTTGAAGCTCTAATTAGAGATCAAAACTTCCATAGGATCATGCTAAAAAGGTAAAGATTCCCCTTGACATTTTTAGTCCAGTCGTGTCCCACTCTAGGGAGCAGTGCTCATCCCGTTTTCAAGCCGTAGAGTCAGCGCTTGTCCAAAGACAGTTTCCATTGCCACGTGGCCAGCATGACTAGGGAACGCCATTTTACCTTCCCACTGAAATGGTACCTATTTATCTACTCCCGTTTGCATGCTTTCGAACTGCTAGGTTGGCGAGGAGCTGGGGCAAAGCGACGGGAGCGCACTCCGTCGCGTGGATTCGATCTTACAACTGCAGGTCTTCTGACCCTGCAGCACAGGCTTCTGCAGTTTAGCCCACAGCACCACCACGTCTTTGGGATCATGCCAGACACTGGTAAATTGGGATGCAATTTGTAACAGTGCCCTGTTCAAGCAGAAATCTAAAATCCAGCACAAATGAATGCCATCAAAAATGGGATCTTCTTTTGCATGTATTATTTCATATGTGCTTCTGTGTTGTTTTAAATGAGCTTGGAGGTCTTTGCTGATGTATCGATTGTGTTCAACACCATGTTGGTTGAGTTCCTGCAGTGGAGCAATAAAAAAGGTACAAAATAAGGAATTCTATGAGGAGTGTTGTTTCCAATTCAAAACTGACATCACTCTTTTACTCATGCATGGTCTCCCGATTAAATAGCAAATTGATTATCTGTGTATACCTGGCATTAATAAGGCAGCAAATATGCCACAACATATTTGAATATTCAGTAATTGCATGTTAAAATCAGTAGTTTCATTATATGCATTTGTTTGGCTAGCTAATATTTTTCATAATTTTTTATGTATTGTATCATATTATTCATCAGTTCAAAGGTGTAAAACATGTATTTCACAGATGATATAAACAATAATTGTTTTATGTTTTAAAAAAGATGAGATCATAAATGATAAAACTAATATTGCAGGTGAAATTACATATGGAGGGAGAGTTACAGATGCTTGGGATCAGAGATGCCTTCGCAGCATCCTAAGGAGGTTCTTTTCCCCTGAAACATTAGAAGATGACTACAAATATTCAGAATCAGGTAAATATATTTTCATGTTCTAAATGTTCTATGTTAATGTACGTTCCTATTAAATCTATTGGAGCTACCCTGTAAAAGAATAATGTCTCTAAGAACCGTGAGATGAAATTACTGACACTTCTTCCTTCATAATCAATTATCATTGCAATTTTTAAAATAATTATTTAATAGCAAGCGGGTCACGAAGAGTCGGACACGACTAAACGACTGAACAAAACAAAAAAAATGAGTATCTAGACTGTGCTCCTACACTGTAACTTACTTGGGAGTAAACTTTTCTGAGCTCAGTACAGTTTTGATTAAACATGTATGTGCAGCATTAAATATTTAGAAACAGTGGCTGAAATCCTGTTGGTTAGTGCAGTAAGTCACACTAAAATAGTCCCATTGAATCAGTGAGGATTTCATGAGTCAGCTCCTCCATCAGTGCTGTTGATTTAAATTGGCCCACTCTAGTTATCACTTATTTTAACACAGTAAGTCACAACTAGAGTAGATTCAAACAGAATCTGAACAGGTCACTCACTTGGCAATACAGTAATCTTGTATTTTGCAGGGGTGATCATTTACATTCATGTCTCAGTACTATATGTGCTGCACAAGTTTTATTCATTAGTTCTCATGATGTTTTTGTTCTGGTCTGGACAGATAATGGGACTCTATGTACATTCTGTGTCATTATGTTTGGTGTATATGGGAAAGAGTCCCCCATTACATAACGAAGATTCCTACATTTTTCTGCATGGAATCAAGCTTTAATAGATTGTTCCCACTGCAGTTATTATTCTTAAGATTAGAGGGGAGAAAGTCTAATGTTTCAAACCACACTGCTGTTGGTTTTTCTCTGCTTTTCCCTCTATTCATGAGGACTAGAGTCATCTTACAATATATTTAAAATTTATATATAATTTAAAAATAAAAAAATTGTGCACCGGTGATACCTTGTTTGCTTCTTTTCCTGTCAGATAACAGCAAGCCACCACAACATTCCTTAAGGCAAGGTCAAATGGAATTATCTCTTTTAGTTATGAGCTAATACAGCAAAACATCATGGTACAATTATTAACTAAGCAGCATGACAGATACATTGCTAACATCTTCATCTCAAGATTTCTGACCTAAAGTGAATTGTGTCCTCTGTATGAGCCATATGACCTTGCTCTGTTCAGTCTCTGGTTCTCTTTGGTGTTGTAGAGGGCCATTTTCATTGTTGTGGTTTTATCCTTCTGCACCTCCCATCTGGTTCACATGTTCCTGTTTGTGCAGACCAGACTGTGATGGATGGAAAGATTTTTATATATACCATCTCTATGAATGGAGTACTCTAACCAGAGATCAGTAAATGTTGCCAGAGTCTAATACTCAATGTTGCTGAGAAGAAAATCAAATACACTGATTCAGATCTACACATTTGTTCCATTCCCTCCTCAATCTGCAATCACTTATGTTGTTTCACATGATGTCAACCTGTGGATTAAAGAGAACACTCACTGTTTAAGGGGGAATTTTCTGTAGAACACTGCACTGTGTGTGGGGTGTGTGTGAGTGAACTCCAAAGGAAATTGTGTGTGCTGTGCAGTGGCAAATCAATGGATCTGATTTGAAACACAAAACAGATAAGCCAAAATGTAAGATTTATTTAAAAAAAACCCTGATAAGACCATTTCAAAAGGCAATATAATATTCTATATTAAAAACAATCATTAAAACATTAATATTAATAAATCCTGCTGCTTATTATTTTATTTACTTAAAGCTTGGCAGGCACATATCAGATGATAAGGGGGCCAATCCCACCAGAGTATTGTTAACAAAAAGCTAATTTGTAGATGAGTTATAGTATTTATTTAATTATTCATTCATTCATTCATTCATTTGATTTATATAACCACCTATCTGACAATGGTCCCTTTGAACTGAATTAATGAAGGAAAGCAATTTATGAAGCCTAATGTTAACCATCATTTGAACACCTCTGTTGAAGCTTGGATTTAACCTCTGAATTAATTCCACCTTAAAGATTTTCTTCCTTTTGGCAAACTTTCAACAAAGCACTTTACTGAATTCTAGCAGTTCATGGGAATGTTGCAATTAAAGTTTCATCAGTGATTATCAGCCACTAGTTCTTGGACTAATGCCAGTTCTGAGCTATATTCTTTCCTTCATTTAAGGGCAAGCAATGCCTGCTTTCCCAAAACCAAGTGGCCGTACAAAAGCCTTAAGATACAGTGAAAGGGCCCTCTTTGGCTTATGTTTCTTGATCATTTAGGAATAGTCCACATACCCTTCATCATTCAAGTTGAACACAAAGCAGGAAATGGCTGAGTAGGACTCAGAATAGAAACTCATTATTGGCTAGCCCTATCTGGTAAGTCAGTGTTGAGGTGAAGTGATTACAGAATCCTCAGAATGAAAGAAATCCAAATAGATTCAAGGATCACTTAGACATGTTATTAAGCAGTGTGTTTATCAGCATACATGGGTATGCCTGTCTATAAATATGGGAAGTCAGAGAGGAAGACCAGCTTTATTTTCATTATAATATGTAAATTGCACATATCTGTCATGAAAATCACTGAAGGAATATGAGCATTGTACTTCACTGTGCTATTTTTATATCATTACTTTTCTGATTAAAGCTGCATGTTAAAGTTCTTAACAGAAATGTCCCAGTTCAGGGATTTAGGAGGCTTGCAGGCTTTACAGATTTTGAAGAGATTACTGCATATTTTATAAGCTTTACAGGGACTCTTTAAAGTCTTTATCAGATCATCTGAGTTTAAAGTTAACACCAGTATAAAGCTTTAAGAACTTTGGTAAGGTTTGAACTCCCTGGGAGTCTTCTAATCCCACTGGATATATTACATCCTTTTTGATGGCAAAGGGTATGCAGTAATTGGACTGTTAACACTAATGCGCTCCATTTGCATTGTTTACCCTGAAAAGATGGACAGCCTCATTTTCCTAGAGAGGCTGCATCTCTTCTCTCAGTTGCCTCGCACTAACCACTTCCTCATTTCACCACAGTAGGCATACAGAGTAACTGTGAGACTGCTGCTACTATATGTGTCCTGGACATGCTGTTAAGTTAGTAGTAGGAAGTCCTTAGGCTGCAGAGACATATGATTGGTTGTATGCTTTTCAGAGAATTGTTGATGATAGAGCCATTGCTTATATACTCACTGTCATTTGCTCACATTGCTCTTTAAACCTATATTTTATTACAGACCAAGCTCTTCAGTTCCTAAATGTCCAGAACCCATGGTTGATTTATTATGAGGTATTTTACATATATATAAAATGTAAAATACCTCATAATAAATCAAACATATATACGTTTATTGCGTGGCACACAGGCCGTTGCAAAGTACATCAAATAAAAACAATACAGTACAGTACAATTCAATACACTGTAGTATGAGGGGGGGGGACTAAAACCAGGTTAAATTTCTATCACAGCTAAAAACCTCTAACGCACGGGTGTCAAAAGCAAGGCCCGCGGGCCAAATCCGGCCCCCCAGACCTCGTCTGATGGCCCGCGGAGCCATCCATTTCCACACCATCCCCAACCCCGGGAAACGTGAGGTCCACCCAGAGCTTGGTGGGCGGAGGGCATGGTGGACTGCGGTTCTTCGGCGCTCCCAGTCGCAGCGGAATTAGCATGCCTCAGACTCCAACTTCTCCCCGCCCCGTGGCCCTGCCGTGTCGCGATTGGCCGAAAGGAGAAGGCGCGCGTGGGACGGAGGGAAAAAGAAGAGGCCCATATCTGGCGAGCACGCCCCCCCTCCTCGAGCTGCTCGAGCTGCTCCGCGAGGAGTTCACGCTGCGCCCCAGTTGCATTGCACGGGTAAGGGAGCCCACCTGCTTGCCTCCCCTTCGCTGGTGGGGAGCAAGGGGCCCGGGAAGGAAGGGGGGGAATGGGGCAGTGGCGGCGAGAGGGGCAGGCAGGTAGGTAAGGAGGC